AGGAGCTGCCAGGAGGAAAAGCTCCATCCGTGGAGATAGGATCAGTGCATGGGAGGGAACTAGAAAGGCAATTGCTGTGGGAGGGAAGGATTTGAATCAGTCTTGGTCAGTCCCTGCAAAGCAGATGTCTTCTCAGCAAAGACCCCGTGTCTCCTCTCCCATGAGGAGGGGACTGAGGGACTGTCCTGAGATGTTGCCACTTGTTGTCTATCTACATGATATGTGTAGATGTTGTCTTAACTTGTTGATGCTTTTTCCTCATTGGACAGTGCTCTGAACCAAGAGCAAATGTCCAACAGCAGCTCCGTCAACGGGTTCCTCCTCCTGGCATTTGCGGACACTCAGGAGCTGCATCTCTTGCACTTCTTTCTCTTCCTGGGCATCTACCTGGCTTTGTATGTGGGCAGCTTGGTTTGTAGGTAGGTTTGTGTGCCCTTGCCTAGAAGCTGCATGTCAAAATCTCCTGCCAAGGAGATATCCTGCCAAGAATAAAAGGAATGTTTGCATGTGGAGGAGGGATACGTGTGTCTGTGTTTCTCTTTGCAAGAAAGGGAAAAAGTTTTGCAGAGAGTTTGTCTTAACTTGTCGCTGTCTTTTTCTTCTTGGACCTTGTCTCATGACATGAAGATCAAAATGTCCAACAGCAGCCCCTTCAATGAGTTCCTCCTCCTGGCATTCACGGACATGCGGGAGCTGCAGCTCTTGCACTTCTCCCTCTTCCTGGCCATCTACCTAGCTGCCCTCCTGGGCAACGGCCTCATCATCACAGCCGTAGCCTGTGACCACCGTCTGCACACCCCCATGTACTTCTTCCTCCTCAACCTCTCCCTCCTCGACCTTGGCTCCATCTCCACCACTGTCCCCAAATCCATGGCCAATTCTCTCTGGAACACCAGGGACATTTCCTTCTGGGGATGTGTTGCACAGGTCTTTCTGTTTGTCCTTTTCATGTCAGCAGAGTATTATGTCCTCACCATCATGGCCTATGACCGCTATGTTGCCATCTGCAGACCCCTGCATTATGGGATCCTCATGGACAGCAGAGCTTGTGTCAAAATGGCAGCAGCTGCCTGGGCATCTAATTTTTTCTATGCTCTCCTGCACACTGCTAATACATTTTCCATACCACTCTGCCAAGGCAATGTGGTTCAGCAGTTCTTCTGTGAAATCCCCCAGATCCTCAAGCTCTCCTGCACAGATGCCTACCTCAGGGAAGCTGGAGTTATTGTGATTAGTCTTTGTGTAGCTTTTGGGTGTTTCGTTTTCATTGTGGTGTCCTATGTGCAGATCTTGAGAGCTGTGTGGAGAATCCCCTCTGAGCAGGGCCGCCACAAAGCCTTTTCCATGTGCCTCCCGCACCTGCTTGTGGTCTCTCTCTTTCTCAGCACTTCAGTGTTTGCCTACCTGAAGCCACCCTCCATCTCCACGCCATCTCTGGATCGGTTTGTAGCTGTTCTGTACTCAGTTCTGCCTCCAGTACTGAACCCTCTCATCTACAGCATGAGGAACAAGGAACTCAGGGATGGACTGAACAAGCTGATTCATTTGATAATATTTCAGCAGCAATAATAGTAATAATTCCTTAATTAATTCTTTAATAATTAATAATAATTCCTTTAGTCAAGTAATACCTGATTCAGCTCAGACCATCTCCTGTGATTTGGGCATTCTTGCTGTAATGATGAGGTTGTGCACAAAATTTTGTGTTCATCCCACTTCTCCAGAGGTGTTAACCATGTCTTTCTGACCCAAAAGTCTTCTTTGAATGTGCTTGTCAGTGTGTCAGAGCTGTCTTCCTTCTAATAAAAGGGTTTATTTCAATGCAGCATTTGGATTGGGATATTTTTCCAAAGCTGGTGCCAAGAATTTACTCAAGGACTTTCAGCCTGAAAGGCACTTGTTTCTTTTCTGGGCACGTCATGGCCTAAAGGCAATGAGCTCATGGGGTGATGTGTTAGGGAATAACGAGTGGCTTCAGTTGTGGTTGCTCAGTAGACAAGTAGAATTTGCGTGGCATTGTCTCCCATATGGTGGCAGATGCCCACAGTGGGGACCTTGCAGGCACAGGGACGGAAGGTGCAAGAGCCATTTTTGATATCTTATTCCAGAGACCGTGGTCTGGATCTAGGAACACCCCTGAACACAGCCTGAGCCATTTGAAATGTCCTGTGATTGCTCAGAGCATCATTCAAAGGCAAAGATATGGTGTTCTCAGGTGTAATGATGTCTGCCCAGCTGGGTCTGTCTTCAACCCCGACCACACCAGCCGCTTCAGAGCCACCCTGTGACCGCAGAGCAGCCCAGCCCACTCACTCTGCAGAACAGCACTAGCATCTCAGGTTTCTGTATGGAGCACCAGGAGGCTCCAGGAACTTTCAGCCAGACCATCCCTGGGGAAGGGCTCTCTAGGGAGCAGGGATATCTGTGGAGAAGAAGAAAGGAGCAATTGTACTCTTAAAAGAGGAAGAAATGGGGAAAAGAAATGTGTTTCTCTGCATGTCATCCAAGGGCAGGCTACTGTGTCCCTGCGGCAGCAGGAGCTGCCAGAGGACCCAAGGGCAGGGACCCTTGTGTGGTTCTGGAGAGAGGGGCTGGCATGGGGGGCTGTGTGCAGCCTGGGGCAGGGAATCTCTGGGATAGAGGAACAAGAGACACAGAGTGTCCCTGTCCTCTGTGTCCTTGTGCCACTGGGTCCAGTCCCAGCTTGGAGCGTGATGGGGCAGCTGACACACACAGCTTTGCCCCTTGGAGCTGCTGTGCCCACAGTGGGGCTTGGGCTGTGGGGTGAGCGCCCCCAGCTCTGCAGACCCCTGCGGTGGGCACTGCTGCAGGTCCACCCCCAGCCTGATCTGCTCTGCTGGGTGGGCTGGGGAGAGGGCAGGGGATGTGGGGAGAGCTGGGGAGGGGTTGGGCTGGACTAGAGAGGGTCCAGGAGAGGAAAAGAGCGTTTGCTGAGCTGTGTGTCCTTGGGTGCCCGGATCGACAGTGAAGGTGCTCCAGGGCATTTGTCACAGACTGGTCTCTCACTTTGGCCATTTCCAGCACTAGTCCCACATTGGACATTTGCAGGACTCGACAGGGGCAGATCCTTGGGGAGGCTGCCCAAGCAGAAGGGCTGTGGTGGACTGAGACACCAAGGGTTGTTGTGGGGTCTGTACTGGGGAGACCTTTCCCCATCCTGGAGAGCACCCTGCCCCACGCAGTGCCTGCACAGCAGGGCCATGGGGCTGTGTGCAGGGCACCAGGGATAGAAGCCCCTGTGCTCCTCACGGTTCCACTGCAAAAGAGAAACTGCCAGGGCAGCTCTCCCAGGGCTGCCCACRAGCTCTTGGCCCTGCTCCAGACACGCCAGATGAGAGGGTGAAGACCAGGAGGTCTCTCAGGCAAAGCTGTGCCAGCCTCGCGGAGCTGCCCTGAGCACCAGGACGGGCAGAGCGCTCTCCTGTTTGAGTCTTGTCCTGCTGGGAGGGTGGCTAGGCACGAAGGGAATGGCCTGTGTCTGCCGGAGGTCACTGTGGGACCTCTGCATGGGAGGTGAAAGCAACAGTCCCTGCACTGCAGCCTCCCGAGGCAGGACCCCTCGCTGCAGCCCCCACTGCTGCTCACCCCTGCCCCTACTGACCTCACCCCTGCCCCATTGCCCTGGCTCCTATCAGATGTCTCCGCACCCTTAGGACCAACAGTACAGCAGGAGCTGGCACAGCCCTACAGCCTCTATTGACCTCCAGGCCTCCCCGCCAGACATTACAGCCATCTTCCATTAGGTCAGGAAAGAGGATCTGGGGAGTGGTGGGCTGATCTATGACGCCTCCATCCCTGGGAAATAAATCATTCTGTGAGCTAGATCCAGCTGCATGAAGGGGTGGAGAACAGCCAAAGCATCAAGGGAAAAAAAGATGCCTTGGCAGGACTGGAGAGCCCCAATGGGATCTGATATACAGGCAGGGTGTCCACTGTGCCAAAAGGAGAGGTACACTGTATTGATGGCCCTGCTGACTGTGCTCTCCCAAACACAAATCCATGATGGTGGCCAAACCATGGCACATGGACCCAGAGAGGTTCTCAGATCTCCTCCTATCTCCTCTGATTCTCAGAGATAATCTAAACTTCTCTGGAAAGGGTCCAAAGATACCTCCTCTACTGCGATCTGCCTTCAGGACCTGAGACTCTTAACAAAGACACCTATGGATTTGGAGCTGTCATCTCCACTGCTCACCAAGGACAGGTATCTCAGAGCCACCCATCGCTCTGAGAGATCTGACTTTTTGTGAGGGACATCTCCCTGTCTGCAGGGAGGCACAAAATGAAGAAATGGCTCTGACTGCTTTGATTTACTACCCATCTCTGAGGGATGGGAATGAATTAGGTCAGGGATGGAAGATGCAGTGAGGGTCTAGATTTGGTAGAAGGCTTAAATAGAATCTCCTTAAAGGAGTGATGGAGTGAACTTACTCTATCCAAGTGACTAAAGTCCCTAAAGACTCAGGTAGTCATCTGGACCTTCACAAACTGCAAACCTGAACATGAGCTGAAAGAAACCATCAAACTGAGAATTCCTGGCTTGCAGCAGGATGCTCCAAGGAGGGAACATGGTCACCAACAGTCCTCACAGTCCTCCTAGAAGGACCTGGGGCTGACAGGCTGTGCTCTGGGAGAAGATCGCTGCTCTCTCCAGCCACCTCCTCCTGTGCTCATCAGCAAAACCCTGGGACTGTCACTCAGTTTCACCACGTGGCACCCTGCACTCTAACATACCGTTATCCCCATGCCACCACCTGGCTTCATCGTAGAGCACCCTGCACTCCAACACCCTTCTGCACCAGGGCCAACCCCTGGCTCCACCACAGGGCACCCTGCACCAGGAATATTTGTGTCTGCATTATACTGAAGCAAGCAAGAGMGCAAATAACAATGGAGATACCCTCCCCTGCAGACTGTGACATTCTCACACTTACTTCTTCATGCAGCTCTCTCAGCTGAAATCAATACTGAAATCGGGCATGGGACCAAGAAATGAAGCTGTAGTTGCTGAGTTCATCCTAGAGGGTTTCTCAGGCCTTGCTCAAAGACTACATCTCTTTCTCTCCCTGATCCTTCTACTCACATACCTGACAACAGTGACAGGCAACAATATGATCATTTTTCTCATGTGTGTGGATCACCGCAAAGTCCCATGTACATTTTCATCAGCAATCTGGCATTCCTCGAAAACTGGTTTATGTCCTCTACAGCCCTCATATTGCTGGCCATTCTGATCTCTGGGAGGAGAACAATCTCCTGAAGCATCTGGTTTGCCCAGTCCTGTTTCTGTTTCGCCCTGGGCTGTGCAGATTTTTCTCTCCTTATTAGCATGGCCTTTTACTGCTACCTTGCCCTCCACCAGCCCTTACATTCTGCTGCCATCATGAAGCAGCAGCTCTTCACCCACCTGGTTATTGCTCTGTGGGTCACAGCCTTCGCTCTCTTCACTTACCACCTGGTCCTGCTCTCAAAGGTGACCTTCTGTGGCCTCCAAAAGAACCACTATTTCTTGTGGGACAACTACYCCTTATTTAAACTGTCCTGCTCTGATACCAGCCTGCTTTGGAAAGCAGATGCTGTTTTGATATTGTTTGCTGTGCTGGGTTCCTTATGTTTAACCGTGTTTTAACCACTGGCTTTTTCTCCAATTCTGTTCTTTGCTGAAGGAGTTCKTGATGAAATAACAGGAATTATTTCATATTATCTCAAATACTATCACTAGAACCAGAATGATAGTTCTACTGTCATTATTTTTGTGTTCATGTTTATCAAGAAAATGATATACCCCTCCCAACCATATCTTGATTGGCATGTACTGTTGAGAAGGGGAATAATCCCCTTTTCACTTTATCCCTTGTCTCCTTTTTCCTTTCCCCTTTCCTTCCCTTTTTTTTTAAATTCCATGGGTGTACAAGGAAAGCACACAGGAATGGAAAGCACTCCTTACCATCTGGAGACAATTCTGTGAGAACTCTTTATAGCAAATGTATTTCTCCTCTGCGGTTGAACCTGAGAAACACCAGCTCAGTGATCTTTGTGGTGGAGGAACAGTCTGTGAGGACCCATGCTGGGTCTCCATGGTCATCAGGAGGAAATGATCATCTGGGAAACCCTCTCCCYGTCTGTGTGGCCAGTGGCAGTGGTGATCTTTTCCAAGAGCTGTCACAGAGATTATCAACTATGAACATGGCTGTGGAAACCCTGGTCTGGGGGGTTGGAGAGGCTGGGGGTGGCAAGCAGAGCCMAGGYTGATGTTTCCCTGTAGCTCTGGTTCCAGTGTGACCACCAGGACTCCCATTTCCCTCCATGGGATCCCTGCGCACACAGAGCTACAGGAGCAGCTCCAGCTCCTTTCCTCMCTGGGAGCTCGGATGGGTGATCCCCACTGCCCTGCTATCCCAGGGCCCTTGAACAGATGTCCCTGTCCCAAGGGTCCCTGCTTGGCCTTGCAATGGGAATCACCACCAAAGGTCCCAGCAAGGAAAGGAACTAGAAATGCTCAGGTGTCCGTGTGTGGGCAGCGATCCCATAGGGGRAAACTGGCCATGCAGGGGACCCCCTAGCGATGCCCTRAGYRCCCAGACTGCCACGGGCACAGCTCCGTCCCCTCGCTGGGTGAGAATCCACCACCACCATCCCTAGGGACAGGCTCACCCTGTGAGAACTGCRTCTGCAGGCAAGGAGAGCTGGGTGAGGAAGGCCGAGGGCTCCCGCAGCTYCTGTGGGGCTCTGCAGAGGCTGCCAGCAGCGCAYGCGCTGCAGGAGGATCCTGGCGCTTCTCTMGGCTCYGCAGGGATCTCTGTGCGGCAGTCCAGGCGCTGCCCCTGCTCCTGCCCTGTGCACTGCCCATGCCCCGGGCTGGCAGTGCAGCCTGCGAGCTGGGAGGCAGCGGGGCTGTCCCGGGCAGTGTGGCCGTGGCCTCACACCTGGGCCAGGAGCAGGGCGCTGCGGGGCTCAGGGCGCAGGTTGGAGCCTGAAGGCAGTGCCCACCTCAGCGCCGCGGCCCCTCTCAGCAGGGGGTCATTTTGGGGAGGGGACACTCTTTGTTGGTGCCTGCTCTTGACATGTACTTGGTGAGGTGGATGCTTTATGACTGGTGCTGGAGCTGCCCAATCTGGAGCATGACAGACAGCCCTTTCCCTTGCTCTTGCAGCGGCTGTGCTCATCTGGGACGGTGCTTGTGAATTTGTCGTAGAGATGCTGGTGCAGAACACGGTGGGTCTGCCCTCCTCTCCCTGCCCTGCAGMCCTGATGCTTTCAKCAGTCCTGACATCTCTGTGCCATTGGATGCACTGGATTAATGTTCCACAGAATCACAGAATCTTAAAGGTTGGAAGGGACCTCTAGAGATCATCTAGTCCAACCCTCCTGCTCAAGCAGGCACACCTAGACCATGTGGCACAGGGTGGCGTCCAGGCGGGTTTTGAAGACCTGCAAAGAAGGAGACTTCACAACCTCCCTGGGCAGCCTGTTCCAGGGCTCTGTCACCCTCACAGTGAAGAAGTTCCTCCTCACCTGGAGATGGAAGCTSCTGTGTTTCAGCTTGCACCCATTACCCCTTGTCCTATCACTGGCCACTACTGAGAAAAGCCTGGCCCCCTCCTCCCTACAATCTCCCTTCATATATTTATAAATGTTAACAAGATCCCCTCTTAGATCCCCTCTCTCTTTCCCTAAAGGGTAATGGCAAATCTCTAGCCCTATTTCATACTGGTGAGTGGTTGGAGGCTTTCTGTGCCTTCTCTAGACCTTACTGACAGAGTGAAATATAAAAAAAAAAAAGATGATTAATTTTGGCATCATTAATTTCTATTTTGAGTGACACGGGGTGGGGGATGGTTTCTGTTCTAGGAACCTTTCTTATGGATCTCCTGGATGTGAGAGATGATTTACATGTACTTTTGAGGGTGGGGGGAGGATGGAGAGGAAACCACCTGGAATGTTCTTCCAAAGAACCTCTCCAAGGCTTTCCAGAGGGCTCCATCTTGTCCCTCTGTCCATCRGGAGTGAACAGGGYCYWTSGCAGCATGGACATGTCTGACAAGACTTGGGTCTGTTTCCCTCACCTGCTTAGAATTCTTCTCTTCTGTTCTGTTYGCAGGATGTGAAGATTTGTCCACTTGGGGTCTTCAGGGTTGTTTGAGAGAAGGTCTCTGTCACAGGAAAACGTGGCAAGAACACTCGTGTGACGGCCTACAGACCCATGTTCTGCATCGCTAAGGAACTTTTGGAGTGTCATGGTCTCAAGCAATACGGGGATGATGATGCTGGTAAGAAGACAGGCTGAAATCCTTGCTTTGCCTTGTGACATCTGTGGGATGCAGATAACTGCTGTTCTGCAGGGGCTGTGTGAAATCTGCAATTCCTCCATTAAGTGATGAGAAGAGCTTCATGTCTTTTTTATGTGCTTTTTTTTTTTTAATTTGTATTGTTATGACACCATACTGCAGAATTGAAGGGCCCTCTCTCTGCCTCTTGGATTTGCTGTCTCCAAGCAAGGATTTTGGAGTTGTTGCTTCTAATTCAATGCAGTTAAAACTCCCATTCCCTGTTGCTGCCTCTGCAGATCTTGCAAGGAAGAAGAACAGCATTGCTGCTGGCTCTTCCACTGCTATTGCTTCCAAGCGGGTTGAAGGCACTCGTAGTGCCTGCTGGAAGAGTGAAGCGGTGATGGGAACACGAGTGTGCAGGAAACCCCCTCCAAAGCCATCTGTGCAGTGATGGCCGCGCAGTGCTGGGAGCAGTGCAGCTGCAGTAGGACATGGGTGATGGCCTGGAGAGCAGGAGCTCTGAGCTGTGTTCTGAGTGGGCCTTCCTTTCCAATGACTCCATCTTGTTGGTGCTATGAACATCAGTCTGGCATCCCTTGGGGATGGCCCTGGGCACCCATGGCAGGGCTCTGTCCTGAGCAATTCTGAGGGCCTGGGGGTGGCCAGAAGGAGTAAGGTGAAAACGACAATTACTTAATGTTCTTTACTAGGGAAGATGAATGAAGATTCAGCCTGTTAGGTGAAGGGCTGTTGGGCRCTGCATGTGTTTTCCTTCTTCACTGCAGCCACTGCGACGTGGCACTGCTAAGTCTCTTCAAACCTGGCATCTCCTGTGGGCACAATGACCATCAGTGGTACCTTCTGCTGGGAACTGGCTCCCTTTCTCCTCTCCTTGTGCTGCCGACCTGCCTCATGGTCATGCGAGTTAGCCAGGCGCCTGTCTTTAGTTTCTGCAGGAAGGAAGCAKTGCTGCACTCTTGGCCCATGAGGCTGTGCAGGGCTCAGAATTTCTCCCACGGGAGGGAGAACATCCGCCTCCTTTATGGGTTTGCCAGGGGGTTAAAGAAGACAGCTCTGTAGCACTGTCTTKCTGGAAGGCCTTCCAGCTGCAGGACACTCTCTTGTATTTTCCCCTGCTGAAGAGCTCTCTCAGWGACTGTGTTGCTCTTTTGTTGCTGCCTAGGTCTTAAGGGATATGTGCTCCTGCAGTACAATTGCGTAGCATATTACACCAGCTTTCCATGCAGAGCAGTGTGGATCTGCATACTGGAGACCATGAACCAGCTCTCTTCCTGTCTTCAGAGCAGAACCAATGTTGCCCTTGTTCTGAGGGACATTGGCATCCTGCTGATTGAAGACAAAGTGTGAAAATGAGGTTTTACAAAAGTCTTTTGGATCGGATGAATGAGTCAGACCAGGTGATAACAGCTCTTCTTGGGGTAAGTTCTGCATTTCTGCAGTGCTACTTGTTGCTCTTTTGAAGCCCCAACCAATTCCAAGTGAAGGGATTTCTCTTGGCCTGCCAGAATGTGGTCACTCCTGAACTAGAGTAATGGCAGATCCCTGCACAGTGACCCCTCTTGCCCTTTTGATTGCCTTTGGTGCTATTGGAAGGAGTGATTTGCTGTAATCCCCTGTCCTTCTGCTGTGAGACCAGGCAAGTGCAGCTTGTGGATGAGCTGCCAGCATCCCCGAGGTGGCCTCAGCACATCCCCTTCAGTGGAGCTTGGGCCACAGCAGGTGGCAGGTCTGACCCCACTGTACGCAGCCTGGAGCCCAGACCAACTTTGACTTTTTTTGTCTACCCTAGTCCACGGTGCCAAACCAGGCCATTATCTAGACCATTGAGTTTGCTTCTGCCCTTTTTGTTTCCCACTCCAGGACCCTCAGCTATGGTTCTGTTGAATGCAGGGTCTGCTGGCACCACTGGAAGCACTGGCTGCTCTTGTGAGCCACAACAACAAGACCTTTTTATTTATTTATTTATTTATTTATTTATTTATTTATTTATTTATTGCAACATCTCACAAGTGTCTCTCTCGTTTGCAGATGCCAGAGGTGAAGGATCAAATCATCTCAGATAAGACCAGAGCTGCTTCCCTCACCCTTTCAGAATCTGTGATGGTCTTTCCAAAGTGAGTGATGCTCTGCAGAGAGCCCTGCAGGATTTGGCCTCCTCTGCATACTCTGCTCTGGGAAAAGATGGGTCTTTAGAGTGGCTCTGAAATACGGTCACCATACGCTGCAAAGGAAATGTGGAGTCCTTCCTTCCAAACACTGTCCTTTTGCTGTTTGCAGGCAAGAGCTGGAGACTTCTCGCAGCAAACTGTTGGTGAGACCTCCACCTGGGAGACCTCCCCCTCAGAGA